TTGCTGACTCTGAAGCTGTGGGGTCTCTCTCTCTGTCTCTCTCTCTGTCTGTCTCTCTCTCTCTCTCTCTCTGTCTCTCTCTCTTTCTCTCTCTCTCTCGTGTGTGTGTGGTTTACACAGATAAGACACTGAAGTGCTCAGGGTGCACACATTACAGAAGTGTGTGTACTCAGTTGAATGTTTACCTTTATTAATATTTCAGGAAACAAACCACATCTCTGTTTTCTTTTACATTAGTGCTGGATTTTTCTGGATTTTTTTTTTGGACTTCGATTGTGTCAAACAAACAGACAAACAAACAAATAAATAAATAAATAAGGAGTTTGTTTAATCAGAGCAACATTAACCATGCTGTACTTGAAAAATCGATGACTTTTGAGCTGTCTTCGGTTTTTTGCACAGTGAAACACGTGTGACAGCGGGGTTAAGACATCATGTTATTGATGAGGGACAGATTAAACGGCAGAACCAGATGCTTTTCTAAGATTAGAGCGGGTCTAAGATCAAATGTAAATAAAACCACCGCCTGTTGACGCCGTATATTTATTTCCCTATTACATGTATTCAGTTACACTGAGTGACTCTTTCCTCATAACGATCAAAGCAGTCTGCCACAGCGAGCTCCGCAGTAACTGAATACACGCAGCATGGCGCTGGGGCTGAGAGCCCATTTTCACATTTAAGGAATTGCAATTTATTATCATTTCATTAATCAAGTGGTTTGGCCTAAGATCAAATTTACACAGTCGTCCGCAAGTGTAGCTGATCAGCCAAGGCATGGTTGGTGTCAGAAACGTTCAGCTTTGCCGGCTGTAGTACTTCTGGGGTCGTACAGGGTCTTGTGCAGGTAATTGCCGTGATAACTTTCCTAAAATTTTGATTCCAGCTTGTGTTCACACTTAACCCCTTCCTGTTTAGTGACCATTAAATTCCTGAGTAGAAGTGTGAAGGGCACCTAAGTAAACCAGAGGTGGAGTGTTCAGTGCGTGTGTGTCTGTGCGAGAGAGAGAGAGAGAGAGAGAGAGAGAGAGAGAGAGCTTTAGAGGTGCTGTGTAAGCGTGTGTGGCGCAGAGAGACAGGGCTTCCGTCTGAGCCCCTAATACAGAGTTTATACAGCAGCTTTAGAGCACAGAACGCTAACCCTAAACACACACACTCACATGCACCCTATTCAGACAGACCTATTCCCCCAGGCCCGCACACACACACACACACACACACCTCTCTTGCCCTGTGCTCACTCTCCCGTCATGTGCCCGTGTGGCCCCCCAGGCTGCGCCGATCACACTGGGGCGTCACATGAGAGTGTTGTGATCTCTACTTCTCCTTACACACATACATTCTTCTCTTCACCCACTCTCATTCCTTTATTCATTCACTCAGAGTCTCCAACAATTAATACATATTTTGCCCCCAGAAAGTGCTGAGCAGTCAAAGTGGCCTCTTTCTACGGGCCCCTAGTGGCTGTTTCACCGCCGGGAAAGAGGTCAACTCTGATATTTTTAATAAATGTAATAAAATCGAAAAATTTCGCTATAACTCTGATATCTTCAGATGAAACAGGACTCTGTGTTGAGCAGCTACCATGCAATGAGGGGTGAAAGGGGAGGAGTGCTAACCCCCAAAGATGGCCATGCTGAGATACAACAGACAACGACAGCTTTCTTGATGTTAAAAAAAAAAAATGTTCAACTGCCACAATAAAAAATAGCATTTAAACACAGTAAAAATAGTTTTACAGATGTTGAGCTGGATTTTGCCCCTTCAGATCAATGTGTTTTTGCTTTTTTTTATCCTCCTCATTCCAAACGTCCAGTATACTGGACATTTTTATCCCAGGTGCTCTGTAGAAGCAGTTTTGTCTCCACACTCACTCTCATGTGTTTCTGCTGAACTCAGTCTTTGTATTGGTTGATCATTCAGGCCGGTGAGACAGACACTCACTGCCTACAAGACCAAATCAAACATGGCTCCTGAATCATCCTCTTATCTGTTTCAGAATGTTTTTGTATGTGTGTCCTTCTAGAAGGTCCATTATGTGAAAGATAAAAAGGAAATAGTAGATATTTATTTCTACATGCACACATTTTGAGATCAACTTTAATGTCCGTCAGTCTGGACGTTCGAACGTGTAGTAAATTATGCTTTGATTAGTATAAAAGACTCCTGCATTACAAAACGCAATCATTTAAGACTTTTGTTTGTTTAGGAGTGACAGTAGATTAGTGGATAATATTGTTTTTATTGATTCCTATATGTTTCACTGTCCAACATACTGGACATATACTGGACTGAAATTAAGTACACGAAATGTGCTAGTTGTTGAAAAATGAGCATATTTATTATCACCGGGACGACAGACCCAAACAAAAAAGGATTCAGTAATGTATGCAGTAAGTGTGATATTACATATAAATCTATGAAATATGTAATACAGCTTATTAATGATTTCTGACTTTTTTTCATCAGTGATCTCGACCGTTTCAACCATTCAACTGATTTATAGTAGTGTAAATCAGTGTGCTTTGTGTAAAGCTCTTTGTTTACTGTTACGATATAAAAACCACTATGAAAATTCTTTAATATTTTAGAAGCCATTCATGCAAAAATCCAGGTAGTTCAGAAACTTCTTCATGTGACTGTACATACAGTAAACACGGGAATTTCAGTGCTTGCTTTGTGTTTTGTTATGTTGGTGGACACAGAATATATATGTTTCCCAGTAAACATAAAAATCACGTCATTTAATAAGCAGCAGAATCATGTTATATATATATATATATATATATATAAACATAATTTGTTCCAGTATCCAGTCCCGGGACTGAGGAGGTTAATTTGCATTGCAACAGAGCACCATGCTATACATGCACTTCAATTCTAGGTGTACTCCTGCCAAGGTTCAAGCAATAAAAATAAGTGTCACTCAACCTGATGTTTTATGGTTGGTTGAATTTAACCAGTCATGCTGCTGGTGCCCGTTTGCCAAAATGTATTCTGAGCTGCATTGCTCTGCTGTTCTGTTATTGCTCATGTGCCATTATTAGCAGCAGCTCTTGCTGCAAGAATAATATCAACTGGGCCAAAGTCCACTTGGAAATTAAGGACGACGCTCCTCTTTTAAGTTTTTTTCGTGCACACCTGAGTATGGGTGGAGTGCAATAAACCAAGTTTATTGGTAGAAAAAAATTATTGGTCCGCAGCAAACGAGGTAGGTGTTAAAGCAACTTTAATCCGGCTGTAAAGACGACGAAAGAACTAAACATTACTGCTAAACATGCTGCTGTAAGTCTGCTTAAAAGGAACTCTCGATGCTGCTAGAGGCTCCGTGTGGTGATGCAGGCAGCCATGTGACACCATGTAGACCAGTCACAGTCCGAGGAAGATCTCAGAGCAATCGATGCCGTGATCAGGAGTTCTGTTCAGTAAGCAGCACCGTGCCGTGCAGACTCAAACCGATGGGTCGTTTTAACCAAAAAGTCATTTTTACACTTGTACCGAATGCGTGGGTCCACATCTCGGATGGTTTCAGTGCTTGTGCGATCTTCTGCCTCCTCCACAGACCAAATTGTCCCTTTTCCCACCATAAAGTGACTTAAAACTGGGAGTATTTTATTGAGGTTTTATTGAATCTGTTTTAAGCTGTTTTATTGTGGCTTGTTATGGAAACCTTAACCAGAAATAGACTAGAGGTGGGTGATATAGCACAAATATAATATTGCGATACTTCAAGAAAATTTTACGATAAACGATATTTATTTTTCAGACATCCGATCAGAAAACTGTGACTTGTAGAATGATTTTTATTCAATATTTTGAATAGTGTTGCACTAGATTTACTTAAATCGGACTAATTTTGCTCTCTTTGTAATGAGACTTGCAGTTGGTCAGTGTCTACAAGCACTGGTGATATACACGGTATGTTTATAAAAGCATATCGTATTGTGACATAATTTATCACAATAATGATATAAACTGTCGTATTGTCCAGCCCTAAAATAGACTCAACAGCCTTGTCGAGGTAGCTGGTAAAATCATTGCAGCTCTCTGAGATCACAGTCCCACTGATATATGTAACAAACAGGTTCTAAGGAAAGGCACCAGCCACCTTGTCCTGTCCAGATCACCCTTTGCTAACAGAGTTTGAGTTGTTTTAGAGCACCTGCTGGAAGAAACAGGCACAGAAAAAAAGTTTTTTTTGTCTCTACAGGCAGTAGCTTGTTGAATAAAAGCAATTACTGACTTGCACACATACCTTGGGTTGTAGAGTAGGATTTTTTGTGTGGGGGGGGCATGTTTATGTTGTGATGTGTTGCTGAGTGGTGACTTTAATGTAGAGTAGAGTTGAGAAGTTGAGCTATGCGTGCTATTTACACGTGATGCGGAGCACAGCAGGCTTCACTGGATGCAAATCTGACCTCTGTTTTCACAAGGAGCAGAAATAATTTTTTTGGACCTGCAGCCAGCCTTGAAAATAGCTTTCACACTCGACCAAACGTACCAAACTCTCGGAGCAAAAGGTCCTGACGTTAGACGGGGTCTCTGTGCCTTTCTCACGACAGGGCGAGAGACTGGGCCTCTGTCTGAAACAACACTACAGGCTGCTGATTCAGCGCACTCGATGAAGAATGTGCAAATCTGTCTTCTCCCTCTATCACTGACTGACTCTCTCTCTCTGTGCCTCTGATTTCCTTTCTTTGTTTCTTGCACTCTTTCATTGTCAGTTTTTATTCCTTTGTCCAGCATCCATGTGCCCGGAACTGTACGTGCCCATTTTCTGCCCACACGAAGTCACAAGTCTCTTGAGCTTGACCCCGTGGATGTCAGCAGTTTCTTGGTTTTGCTCAGGCAGCACTGAGATGTTTTGTTGAACAAAGAGGAGGAATAAACTCTTTTATCCCTTTTTGTTTGTAGCCTTTCTGCATGCACATGATTTTCTTTCCCACGAAACACCAGTGATAGTAAATGTCTCTCTATGTCTCTTTCTTTGTCTCTTTCAGGTGACACTGTTGCCCTCCTGCCTGAAAACTCTTTCAAAGGATCCAATAGTGACTTTGGTAACATCGGTTTGGCTCTCTACAGTGGACTCTTTGCATATGGAGGCTGGTACGTTCAGCATCAGAATCAGAACTGTTACAACTACAGTATCACTGAGTTTTAAGGCTTAAAATAGTGTTTAAAAGTCTGAAGATTTTTTTTTTTATCAGTCTGAAGAACCCTTTCGCAATGCAAAGAATCCTGTGTTCATGGTTCTATGTAGAACCATTTCAAAAAGGGTTCTATGTAGCACCAAAAAGGGTTACACTAGAAAATGGTAACACTAGAAGAATCTTTTTTTGGAGTGCTGTATAGGACGCTCTATACAGAACCATCTAGAACACATTCTCAATCAATCTGAAGAAACCTTTTGTCAATGCAAGGAATCCTTTAATCATGCAAAGGGTTCTTTGAGTGTTCATGTTTTTATATAGAACCATTTTCTGCACTAAAGAACCGTCTGTTTTAAGAGTTTAGATTAAGAACTAAAGTAATAACTTTGGTCCTGTTTTAGTTTTGTAGGTTTCTGTCAAGGATACATTTTGGCCCAATCCCAATTCTTATTTTTACCCCTACCCCTGGTTTTCGAGTGTCTCCTTGCCCCTTGGAACTGAGTAGTGGCTGAAATCTTCCCTACAAAATGGGACCCTCAAATAAAAAGAGCATCACTTCATTAACAGCTACTAGCGCTGCTCTGTAGGCGACCCTGCCAGTCTGCAGTGACAGCAGAGGAGGGTAAAGTTCAGCTCCTCACTGCTGGGCTTTAGTTACATTTAGGGAATCATATGCCTTCAAAGAGGGGGGCAATTATTTATTATCACCCACCTCTAATTCTTTAGTGATGTGACGCTGAAGTCAGATATTCGCCAGTTTCTTGTTCAAATTTTCCTGTTCCACCTTAAATGGAGCGACAGTTACATTCTGCCGATTCAGGCGTCAAAACTGCTCGACTGTTTAAGGTGGAACGGGTAATTTAGCGATTTTTTATACTTATTATGAAGAAAAGGATCATAATACATTGAAACGACATTAAAATTAGATAATACAATGGTTATCATGACTTTTAACGGAGAAAATAGTCACATTTGTGGAGTTTTTTGGTCGCTTGCATCTTTCTTTTTTTCTCATAACACTCTGTTCAGAGAGTGCCTCTGAAAAACCTTCGCCCTACCCGTCTCAACAAAATCAGGACGCCCTACTCCTCGGCATGAGCGCTCAAAACAGTGGGGTTAGGGCTAACTGGTAGGGGCAAGGGGTGAAATGGGATTGGGCCTTGGAATTTTGTGCAAATTAAGAACATAACTAATGAAATGGAACTCCTTACTAATCTACTCTTTACCCTTTACTCTCTTCTTAATGAGCACTCTCCATCACTGTTGTTCCTGAAATACAAAGCTGCTTTTTCGGCCTTTGTTGTTTTCCTGTTCTCTGTGCTCAGGCTTTCTCTGGACTGTCTTTCACTGTTTTTTTTTGTTTCTTTTTCCAGGAATTACTTGAATTTTGTCACAGAAGAAATGATAGAGCCATACAGGTAAGTGAGAGCAATGAGACTTGCCTTGAGTTACGCAATTCAAATCTGATTAGCTGCTTAGGTGGCGTTAGGTAAGCGACCTGCTTCTCACCGAGTGGCTGTCTGATATGAACCGGGTTTTGCAGCTAATTAAATGTGCTTCTGTGTGGGTGTGTTGCAGAAACCTGCCCCGTGCCATTATCATCTCCCTGCCCATCGTCACCTTAGTGTACGTGTTGACCAATCTGGCGTACTTCACCACTCTCAGCCCAGACGACATGCTGAGCTCCGAAGCTGTGGCTGTGGTGGGTGTTCACACATTTTCACACATATTGAATTCAGTTCAGTTAAACTTTGTCTTTAAACCAGAACGACATGAAGGTTTCCCTCACTGTTCATTGGTGCAGCAACACAATAGCGTAAACAAATGCTGAAGTGCAGGACAGCAACAAACAGTGCACAATAGAACAGTGTAAGACGGTACCATCACCGTGCTGGTGTACAGTTAGAGACTATAACTCATCTGGAGATGCACGGTTTGTATTAGCCATCCTCTAGTCTTTAATTATTGGTCATTTTCTGACCACAGAGCCGCTCTTGACTGGATATTTTTGGGTGGTGGTCCACTCTCAACCTAGCAGTGACACCCCAGCAATACCGCTGTGTCTGATGCACTTGTACCAGCACCACACACACTACCATGACAGCGCTGTGCTGAGAATGGACCACCACCTACCTAATATCTGGACAACAGCAGTCCTGTGGTCAGAAACTGACCATTGATGACTGAAGGATAAAGTGTAGCAACAGAGGGCTACAGTCTGTAATTAGACTGTATAGGTGGGTGTTTCTAATAAAGTGGCCAGTTAGTGGAAGTACAAGGTGGGTGTTTCTGATAAAGTGGCCAGTGAGTGAAAATACAAGGTGGGTGTTTCTGATAAAGTGGCCAGTGAGTAAAAGTACAAGGTGGGTGTTTCTAATAAAGTGGCCAGTGAGTGGAAGGTTAAGGTGGGTGTTTCTAATAAAGTGGCCTGTGAGTGGAAACAAAGTAGGGGTTTCTAATAAAGTGGCCAGTGAGTGCAAGTACAAGGTGGGTGTTTCTAATGAAGTGACCAGTGAGTGGAAGTACAAGGTGGGTGTTTCTAATGAAGTGACCAGTGAGTGGCAGCATAAAGTAGGTGAATAATAAAAAAATGCATATTTGAGCTTCATTTTGTTTCTTCCAAAATCTTGTTGTGACTCTGAATGTTTGTTGTAGGACTTTGGAAACTATCACCTCGGCCCCATGGCCTGGATCATCCCTGTGTTTGTGGGACTGTCCTGCTTTGGATCTGTCAATGGCTCACTGTTTACATCATCCAGGTAAGAGAATCACACACAAATACGCACAGACGCTCACAACAACCGCCTACACACACACACACACACACACACACACACACACACACACACACACACACAGATATATCTTAAAAAGATCTTGAGTAGCAGAGTCTCTTAATCGGATTGATTCGGTCATTTGGGCTGTGTTGATTTGATTAGTCTGTGTGTCAGTGTTATTCTGCACCAGACTGTCGTCCTCATTTCTCAGTAAACGCTGACCCGGTTCGCTGCCTCAGGCTCAGTTCAGAATGCTAACTGTTGTTGTGGCTGCTGAATTACCTTTCCTCACTGTCTCTCCGTCTCTTCCTCCATCACTCTATACTTCCAGACTGTTCTTTGTGGGATCGCGGGAAGGACATCTTCCCAGCCTGCTGTCCATGATTCACCCAAACCTGCTGACCCCACTGCCCTCTCTCATCTTTACCGTAAGAGACTGAGACTGATGGCATCACTTCCCATCATCACATATATTAAAGCCATATTTAGCACATTTTGTTTACCTAAGATAAATAAATCTTAAAGCAGCTCTCTTATCAAACACGTGTATTAACGTATTATTTTAGCTTTAATATATGAGAGTTTATTATAGTATAAAACCGTACCATTCACTTCCCCATACAGTCTGTTAATGGGAACTGAATTCAAAAAAGCTTGTTTTTGTTATGTCACAAATCATGCGTTCATGTTGAAGATATATTGTTTCAGCCCTGGCAGCTTTTTGTGCAGGCATGATACAGGACAGCCAATCAGAACAGAGCTCATTTACATATCAAAGCACTGTTCACGGCTGTTTAGGGTCAAACCATACAAACACATAGAGCTATGCTGAGTGGACCAGCAACAATGTCCACTCAGTGTAAACTTATGAAACTAAGAAGTGTAACAACAAAAAAATTAGGGGCTCAATTAATTAAGTTCCTGGATTAATAGGTTTTTGTATTTGCATCACCGATAATAATACACATTTGGCGCAAGAAACACTGTACACTGCAAAAAAAATGATTTCTTGGCAAGTAAAATTGTCTTAAATCTATTTTATATATTTTATATTTCTCACTTTGAGATTGTTGTAAGCTTATAAGATTTTATTTTAAATTTTTTGTACTTGTTTTTAGTGAATTTATTAAACCAAATCATCTCATGGAAGATAATTTTGCTTATTCTGTGAAACAAGCACAGGTATCTGTCAATATAGTGAGATAATTTGATTCAATAAAAACACCTAGAAAGACGTTAGACTTGTAATAAGCTTACAACAGTATTCAAATTAAATATATTAGATATATAAACTAGGCATAAGATAATTTAATTTGCCAAGATACATTTTTTTGCAGCATATGGAGGAAAAAAGCCATAAGAAATCAATTATTTAATCTCCCTGTTGCTTTAAAATCCGCGCTGTATATCTGTGGACTGTGCAGCTTTGTTTGTGTTCCAGTGTCTTCAGGAAAATCACTGTTCTGCTGTTTCTGATTTGGGCTTTAATCACATTTGATTAATCAGATCTCATAAATGAAGGACGGGCAAAACCCTGTCCTCCACAGAGCGTTTATCTCGCTCTAAACGCGCTTCTAAAATCAGCTAATTCAGCTTTGTGGTTCGTGCCATGATTTTTGATGATGTTACACGAAACAAATGACTGATTTTCAGTGTTATTACAACTATAAACTCTAAAATAGCTCAGTAACTTATTACTAATGTTCTATTTGCTTTGGAATTTCATCAGAAAGTACTTAACTCTTCAGTCTAAGCTTGTCTCATTTGTGTGCGTTCTCTCTCTCAGTGTGTGATGACTCTCCTCTACGCCTTCTCTAACGACATCTTCTCAGTCATCAATTTCTTCAGCTTCTTTAACTGGCTCTGCATCGCCTTGGCCATCCTTGGAATGATGTGGCTGCGCTACAAGAAACCGGAGCTGGAGCGGCCAATCAAGGTGCGTGGTGGGCGTGTCTTACGAGTAATAATCAGCTTTTATTGGCTGAAAATCTGTATAATGAAGTCCGGATGAGGTTGAGAAGTGTATTATTAGGCCATTGTGTTGGAGCAGCTCAGCGAGTCTGCATGCTAGTGTGAAGACAATGACTCTTTTGTAGTGTGTAGCCTGTGTGACACTCTCTCTCTCGCTCTCTCTCTCTCTCTCTCTCTCTCTCTCTCTCTCACTCTCTCACTCTCACTCACTTTCCCTCTCTCTCTCACTCTCTCTCTCTCACTCACTCACTCTCTCTCTCACTCTCACTCACTCTCTCTCTCTCTCACTCACTCACTCACTCACTCTCTCTCTCTCTCTATCTCTCTCCTCTCACTCTTGCTCTCTCTCTCTCTCGCTCTCTCTCGCTCTCTCTCTCACTCTTTCTCGCTCTCTCTCTCACTCACTCACTCTCTCTCACTCTCTCTCACTCTCTCTCTCACTCTCTTTCTCACTCGTTCACTCATTCTCTTCTCTTTCTTTTCTTTCTCTTTTCTCTCTTGTTCTTTTCTTTCTCCTCTCTTACTGTCTTCTCTCATTAAATTTCTTCCTCTTATCTCTCACTTTTTCTTTCTCTTCTCTTACTGTCTTCTCTCTCTTGTTCTTTTTCTCTCTTTTCTCTCTTTTCTCTTTTTCTGTCTAGAGCCTTTTCCGTCTTTTCTCTCACTTTTCTTTCTCTTCTCTTTCACTCTCTTCTCTCTCTTGTCCTCTTCTCTCTCTTCTTTCTCCATTTCTCTCTCTCTTTCACCCTGTGTATTCCTGTCTTCTCTCTCTTGTTCTTTTCTTTCTCTTTTCTCTTTTTCTGTCTTTGGCTTTTTTTTTCCTATTTTCTCTCACTTTTCTTTCACTTCTGTATCACTCTTTTTTCTCTTTTCCTCTTCTTTCCCTCTTTTTTTCTCCATTTCTCTCTCTTACCCTGTGTACTCCTCTCTCTGTCTCTCTCTCTCTCTCTGTCCCCACGAGCCCTGGTGGATTCATTGGCTTTGCTCATCTGCCTGGTTGGCATGGAGACATATGAATCAGGAGAGGTGTAAAGGCACTGGAGTGAAAGAGGCCAACTCTGATAAACTCTCTCTCTCTCTCTCTCACTCTCTCTTTCTCTCTCTCTCTCTCACTCTCTCTTTCTCTCTCTCTCTCTCTCTCTCTCTCTCTCCACCAGCTTCCCAGTACATTCCACTGTCTCTTTACTCATCTATTGTATTCACGCAGTCATATATTACTGCTCTTTTTCCACCGTCCCTCACTACACCCCCAGACTACGGCCTGGAAAAGCCACTTGTTGATCGTTCGGCGCCTCAATGTAAACCAACTTGATAAAAGCAACTGATAATTTATATGTGGTTTAGAAAAGCTGTTGTCAAGCACAATACATTTCCTGGACTTTAAGCAGGCTTATGTAATACTGGGTTTGCTGTATGGCCTCTTTGCCTTTTCTTTGGTTTAAAGCTATAATCAGAGTGTTATAGTAAATTACCATCATCGCCCTACACAGTCCCTGTGTAATAAAACAGGTCTATTATACATTAAACGATTTAAGCTCTATAATGAATGATGATCAGAATAAAACCCAATCAGCTAAAACATGTGGTCACTCCAGAATCAGAAACACTTTCTAGGTCTAATTACATCATCGCCTAATAGCAATTATTTGAGATGATCGCAATGATTTAAGCTGACTGAAGTCATTTTCCACAGTCATTACATTTTATGGTGCAACATGAATTGGGTGTGTTTGGTTGAGGCAAATAAATGTAAATAAAGAATTGTAAATAGTAGTAAATGCATTCATTGAATACAGTTATTAAGTAAGGTAGATGTGTTTTATGTATTTGCTGGTGTGGTTTATGACGTGCATCTCTTCCCTCGTCTTTCCGGCCTGTAGGTGAACATCCTGCTGCCCATTTCTTTCGTGTTAGCATGTCTGTTCCTCATCGTGGTGTCCATCTGGAAGACCCCTGCTGAGTGTGGTATTGGATTAGCCATCATCATCACCGGGGTGCCCGTCTACTTCTTCGGGGTTTGGTGGCAGAACAAGCCCAAATGGCTCCTGCAGGCCATCTGTGAGTGCCTCTGATAGTTCACCTTCTTCCAGATTTGAATTCTTATTTCACATATTATTTGTTTTTAATCAACTTTTGACAAATTAGACGAGTGTACATCCGTAACAATGGCATATTCATTTCTTCTTAAAGAAATTGGTTCAGCCAAGTTTGTCAAATTCGCATAAAAATGTATAATAAATAAAATAAAACTGGTGTAAAATTCCTGCTTCAGGAGGGGAGCTAGTGTTTTTAGCTATGGGACATACTTTCATCCATTTTTAGCAGAACTCATACAGCGGCCGAAACCACGTAATCATGTCTGTTGGAGATGACTTAACAGCTCCACGCAATTCCAAGCAAATGTGTAATGATTTAGGGATGCAGTTAGCATTATGCTAATTGATGGGGTAAAATCTTGTTAGCTATGTTACCCTGCGTTCACACTGGCAGCGATTTTCACCTCTTATCACCTAAATTGCTGAATGCTTATCGCCTGTGGACGTTTCTGAACTCCAGCTGACCCTTGGTTGCCATGGCTTCACTGACGCCAAGCACGAATCAGATGTGTTCCTGTTGAAATTAAAAACCCTGGTGAGAAATCGCTTGTGTGCCTATTTTTATCTTTGTGTCTGTGCAGTCAGAATGTGAGGAAAACAGTATTTGGACTGTCTGTTTGCGGTCAAACACACCGGCGCCATTATTCCACCTGTAGTAGGAACTGTAGTTGGATCGTCTAGGAACCAAAAAAGGAGCGCGCCATTTCACAGTGACGGAGATAAAGCGTGTACTACGCTGCTGAATGCTCCATTCCTATTAGTTATCGCCACATCGTATCACTCCTTATTCGCATAAAGTTAAACTCCGCTCAACTTTGTCACATCGCCAGTGTTTGTGCTGCCTCCTGTCACTGGAAGTCGCCAGCTCACACTGGAAATTGAGTCGCTGCCACTGTGAACGCAGCCTTGTAGCTCTAGTGCCAAACTAAAGAAGCAAACTTGAGACACCAAACACGTCTTGGCTGACTGACTACTTTTGGGCAAGAGAAATATTGTGCAAATTCATTTTTTTGGTTAAACCATCGCTTTAACTGTTGGACGCTATGATTACAATGAGCTGCTCCTGTTTACCTTTTCGATTAAGCTGGATGTTTTGCTCCTCTTTGCAGTTTCAACCACAGCGACTTGTCAGAAGCTGATGGAGGTGGTGCCTCAGGAGTCTTGAAGACCAACCGGACAGTCGGAAGCCCTCTTTCTGCGCACAAAAACAAAAAAGACTGTACCTTTCCTCCCCGTCGACCTCCCCCTACCTCCACCAAGCAGACTTTCAGCCTGTCCCCGTGGTTAAACGGCTAAAAAACCCATGGCTAGGACGTGACCCTGTACCTGTACCTGACGGGGGAGTGAAGAGTGCAGCAGGTTATTGGAACCAGGGTCTGCCAAGATTCTTTCTTTTTTTAAACTCTTTATTTAATTGTTTCTGTTGCTTTGTATGGTCTTTACATTTCTGAGTACCAGCTTTTCTTTTGACATTCCTCCACTAGTCGTATGACCTCTGTGCGTGGTGTGAGGCTGCATTCAGAATCGCCCCCTAGTTCAAGAAATAGTGAACGTTTATAGTGTATCAGCCATTTTGAAGTGGCGTTGGAAAGATGTTTTGCTCATTCCGTGGTCGTCCCCCGGCCAGTGCACTATTTAGCCAACTATGTAGTGAAAAGTGAGCGAGTTAATGAGTGAAGCATTCTGAACACTGCGCATGTATAGTAGTGGCATCAATAGGGACAGCAGCAGTGAGACAGTGAGTCGGTCAGCGTAGCATTCACTGTTAAATAAAAAGCTGTTGATTATGGGCTTGTGTGTAAGTAATAGCTTATATAGTTGTATGCAAGGCAATGTGTGCATTGGGCCGATAGTGGCTCATCATTGCCTGGTTTATAGAGACACATTATTCTCTTTCAAAACTTGTCTGATGTTGACAGCGGCATTTACACTAAATTCATATCTGTACCCTTTTTTTTTCACCCGGTCTTGCCGATATGAGCAGTATGCTGTGCCTTGTCTATCCACGTAGTTATCTGATCGTTTTTCTTTAGACTTTTTACGTCTAGAGAATTGTTTTTTGAAGATAGTCAGTTAGATTTTGATCCTATGGAATATCCCTTTACAGTTGGGCAATGCATGCAGTTGCAATCACATTTTGCATATTCATTGTCATTGAAGGTTCGTAAAAGCTCTGTCAGTCCCACTGGCCTCCATAGCCTTGTTGCCGTATCGTACCTCTTTAAACTTACAACATTCATCTTAAGAACTGTATATTTTGTGTGGCTACCTGAGATCAAATGCATGAAAACAACTGGGATAGTGCTTAACCGTTAACTATAACTTAAAAAGTGCAGTTTTGGCCTTTGCGGTGTGTTAATCATTAAATCCCACAGCAGACTCATTCTATATAGCGGCTGGCTACTTCACCACAATGAAACATTTCTCATTGTGTGCTGGAGTTAGAAGAGTTTTCGTTGTGCATGTTTGAGTGTGCTGCCCATCTTCGATCGGCAGTTTTTTTGTTTTATGAGTGTTATGGTAAATCATAAGTCTTCTCATAGCGAGACAGTTTGTGGCCATTTCCACACAGACAGAGCTCTAACTATCAAAGTTAGTTCTTGTAATTAATGATCACAGCGACAGTTCAAAAGCTGCAGTTACTGTCTTTGTCAGGATAATGAAGCCCTGTTCAGAGTAAAGATCAGTGTTTATCTGGACTTGGACATTTTTCCAGTTTTCAGTATGAGCGGACAGCATTATTATTTCATTATTATGCAGAAAACAGCATATGTACGTAAACTATGCTGGCCCTAGCACTGTGCCCTGAGGCACGCCGAAAGGAATTTAATATAGACAATGTTCTTTTATTCACTCTGCAGCTCAAAAATGATGCAATGTTCTGTACAATTGTTAAGATTTCTCGAGCTAAACCTCCTGCAAACAAAATTTATTTTATTATTGAAAGCTATTTAGATTTAGGACCCAAAGTTCAAACTTCCAGTGCCTCAGTTACGGCGACTGATGGAATCTAAATAATTGTTCTGCAGTGTGTGTGTGTGTACATGTGTGTGTATGTGTGTTTGTGAATGCTGAATGGAATCATGGGTAAGGTTAAGCACAGTGTATCACTGGTTTACCCAATTTAACCGGCCCGGTGGAGTTTTTGTCCATCAGATGGAACTGTAGCTCTAAGCCATTAACTCTAATATATATTTTTCAGAAGCTCTGTTTAGAGCGACGCAAATGACAGTTTTTTCCGTTGTGATGTTATTTTTTTTTTTACTTATATATACAAATGGTTCAGAGACCATTATTTTGTGGGGATCATGTTTTTTCTCCTGATGGACACTCGCTCCACTGGGCAGTTTTAAGAGGCTGATTAGATGTTCACATGTCAGCTTACATATACAGTGGCAATGTTTTACCTGTGAAGAAGTGCTGGTTTTGTGATGAAACTGGTATAGAACGGCTATTTTGTGTGTGTGTGTGTGTGTGTGTGTGTGTGTGTGTGTGTTGGCAGGTTGTGTTGCGCTGGTGATGTTTTTCTCATTCTGATTCACTACCAGAGGGAGTTGTATTAGCCATGGGCAGAAGTGGGGAATGGGGGTATTTCTGGAAAAAGGGGGTAGATCGGAATGGAGGGACAAAGCAAATCCCATGTGTGGTCGTGGTGGGGACGGAAGGGCGGGGCGGGTAATAGGTTCGGGGTTTGAAGTGTCATAAAATATAAATAGATGGTTTTTTATTTGTATTCTTGTTGTTTTCTGTTTGTTTTTAATATTTTTGCAAATGCAGTGTAGTGAGTTTACTGCTCCCCTCCCACAGTAGAGGTAAAAAGAATTATGAAGTCTTTTCCGAAGTGCGATGTAGAAACACTGAGAGACTGACTGGACTCCTCTCCTTCCTACCTTGTGATGTACGCGTCCCAGCCGTTTCGGCAGAGGTTTGGAGAATATTTTCTGTGTATGTTGGAAGCCTATAGCCATGTAACTAACACTCCAGCTAACCAGATGACTAATTTAAATAGTACTGTAGAAAGTTACTTGCGTATTTATTTATTTGTAGGGATTTAGATAGTGCTCTAATATTTTTACAGGGCATTTTTGAAATTGTTTCAGAAATGAATTGCTGTTCTAATTATTAGTGTTCATTTTCATTTTCTCCCTTCGGAAATCTGCTTTGGTCTCTAATTTTGAGTCTTTGGTATGTTTTAGCTCAAAGAGCTGTCTTTCTGCTGTTTTTTTACTCGGAGGATCTCTCATCATCCTGTTTGACTGTGTTTCCACTGACGGGTAATGTTTGTCTCTGTGAATTCCTACTGATAGTCCACAGATAGTGTGACTTCACGTTCTGACCCGAGTCTGCCCTGAAAGTCAGCGATGTCTCTGTCAGTGAGAAATCAAACACTCCACGAATATCCTGTTTTAATCAGCCATGAAAGGACGAGGTACAGTCATATGCAAAAGTTCATGCATGCCTGGTCAGATGAGACGCTGTTGTTGATTTTCTAGGTGAAAATAAGTGAACACACCCTCTACAGTGAACACACTCCTGCACATTTTACTGCTTCACTGCTTAGTTACTGCTTATTTCCTGCTTTTAACATATTGGGGAACACATAAAACATATAATGTGGCTTGTGTAGAAGTTATGGCACATTTTATATATATATTTTTTATATATATTCTTTTCATGTTGTATTGGGCACTAAAATGTGCTGAAACATGCCATATGTAAGCATGTTCTCTGTGGAGGATGCATTTACTTATTTATGCTTAGAAAATCAACAAAATCTGTAATTTGATATATTCGAACTGAAAATGTAATAAAAATCATTACAGTTAAGATTCTAACAGTGACTAGGTGATTAACATGCATCAGTTTTCGAATGTGTTATAATTGATTACAATCAATTATATTGATGTACACAATATTCAGTAAAACATGCTGCTTTTTCAAATTTAATTTACACACATTTTCACATCAAATTCAAAACCATTGAGTAGTGGTTGTATTTTGTTACCTGAAACTTGTCTGAAGTGGCCCTGACTAAACATTTCACATTTTGCTTAGGTTTTCATCTGGCGCTGAAAAGCATGTATGCAGTCGTATGCAAAGGTTTATTAAAGCCTTGGTCAAATTGCATGTTGTTGTTGATGTTTTAAGTGAAAATAAGTGGACAAATCTCTACAGAGAACACACTTCTGCACACTTAAATGCACATTTACTGTTTATTTGCTAAATTTAACATACTGGAAAACAGAAAACATAAAATGTGGCTTATGGAAAAGTTATGGAACATTTTTGAAATCATGTTTTATGTTTGATCTTTTCCTAGTATGATAAACTATGGCTAAACTTATGTTAAATTGTACACTAAAATTAGCAGAAAGTGCCATATTTAAGTTTTAAGTTTGTTAATGTATTTTCACTTAGAAAATCAATAAAACGTGTTATTTCAGAGCATACAACTGTATATTTTGTTGAAAGTGTGGTGGAAAACTACTGTTGGTGTATTTCTCATTTCTGAGCTGCTTTGTAAGAGTGACTGGGCTGACTGTCTGAAATGCTGCTTCCACATGGACGGACTCGTCAGCCAGTTTTTACTCTGTGATGAAATATACCAGTTTTACACACCCACGCACTTATGAAATGCTGCCAGCTGCATTCCTGCGCACAATGGTTCCAAATGTGAAGTTATTTCAAAGTCATTTCACGCACACTGAGCTGAGCTCAGGGCAGACTCTGTGTTTAATCACACTCTCATGGGTTCAGTCTAACTGCAGTCTGTTACTTGTACTGTATAATGTGCAGCCTTTACAATCCAGCTGTTCTCAGACGTGTGAACTCAGTGATGTACTCGTTCTTTCTCATCCTCTGCTCTGCTCTGTCTTGTCTTCCCTAAAGTTAAACTGTTCCTGAGTTTGAAGACAAATCAGTGTGTATGTACTATGTAAGTCTACCGTACTGTCAGTGCGTACTTTCCTGTTGTCTTTGTGAAACGTGTACTACAAATCTTTTTTTTTTTTTCCATTTTCCAGAAATAAAAGAATTCAAATCCTCAAGTAATTTGATTTTGTGCATGAATAGTGTTTTTGTGTGTGTGAGCCTGGTGAAAACAGCAGCTTAGAGATTTAACAGTTAGTTATTTTAAAAAGTGCAGTTTTGACATTTGTAATGAGTAAATCATGAAATGCTTCTGCCCTGCGATGGACTGGCGACCTGTCCAGGGTGTATCCTGCCTTCCGCCCAATGACAGCTGGGATAGGCTCCAGCACCCCACCGTGACCCAGAAGGATAAGCGGTTTAGATGATGGATGGATGGATGGATGAAATGCTTCATTGAACCTATTCAGGATTATCTTAGGTGTTGGGTTAGAAAAGATATATATATATATATATATATATATATATATATACATAAAAATTAACCCATTCTACAATGTAAAACGAAACAGCTCATTGCATGCTTGAGTTAGAGATTTTTTGTTGTTCATTCATGACAGTACTGCCCACCCTGCAGTAGTTGATGCAGTTCAGTCGTCAAATTATGAAGCACTACTCAGACTAAAGAGTACTGGTCTTTGATCAGAGATAATTTGGGCCCAGAAAAAAGGTTTTCATAATGTATAAACAGCATAATCTTTTCATAAACATACGGAGAACAGCAAATGCACTTAAACTATCCTGGACCTAGTGGCAAGCCCTGGGGCACACCACATGGAATTTAATATGGGCAAAGCAATGCAGTGAAATGTCTTGGGATTCAAAAATGATGTAACATTTTCACCTAAATTACAAACAAATCTTATACTAAAACTAAACCGTGAATCTGAATGATGTGGTCACTTCCACAGACTGAGCAGTGACTATTTATTGAAATGTAATTAATAATCACAGTGACAGTTCAAAATCTGCGGTTATTGTGTTTGTCAGCATTCTAAAGCCTTATTCAGAGAAAAGATTGCTGGCCTTTGATCTTTGATGAGTGTTTGAGGAATATGGCTTTGTGCCTGAATTGTGCCTGTTTGTCTGAATGAACCCAGTGAACCTTGCATCTCCTTGATGTCTTGGGGGCTGGATGTACCTTGTACATTGCAGAACATACTCACAAAACAATGAAAGCGCCTGGCCTGCTCTAAGTGAAAGCCAGACAGATTTATGACGGTTCGTTAAAGTTGTTAGTGGATGTCGCCCCTGTTTGTATGGTGCTAATTAGCAACAGAGTTGTGTTACCCCGTGGCCTAGAAAATCCTGCAGACAAAAACAGCTGAGGTAGGAGGAAGCAGGCACAAAGACAGATGGGAGGCCCACAGCATTTCACCTCTATTCACTTCAGTTTTATTTTTTATCACTCTGTACAAGAGAAATTGTCCCAAAGCAGCTTGTCCAGAAATGTGGGTGCAGCCCCCCTGCTGAGCATTGCTGAAGGAGACAGTGTCAGGAAAATCTCCCTAAGAGCAGAAGGAGGAACCCACTGAGAGGAACCAAGAGTCAAAGGGAGAAAATTCCTAAAAGCATAAGGAAGAACCACTGAAAAGAACCGAAGCTCAAAAGGAAAAACCTACTAAAAGCATGATGAACAAACACTAAGAAGATCGAAGACTCAACATGAGAAACTTCCTAAGAGCATGATGAACAAAAACTGAGTGGAACCAAGACTCAAAAGGAGAAACTTCCTCAGAGCACCAGGAAAAACCACTGATAGGAACCAAGGCTCAAACCAAGAAACTCCCTGAGAGCATGATAAAGAACAGGTCTTCACCATGATCTTACCACCTCATTTGAGAACTCCTTGGTTGTTTCATCTGAAGATCAAGAAGGCTTGATGTGATTTTGGATGACCAGTCATCGTTCTCAGCTCATATCGCAAACCTGACTCATGCAGGTTTCACCTCTCATCCAGAGGCTTTGACCCTTTCTCTTTCGAGTGGCCACCCAGGTGCTCGTTCAGTCTCTTGTCATCTCAAGGCTTGACTACTGCAGCTTGCTCCTGGCTGGTCCTTCTCTGTAGGTCATCAGGTTTTTGCAACAGGTTCAGAATGCAGCAGTGCAGCTTGTCTTCAATCTATCTAAGTTCACTCATTTCACTCCACTGCTGTACTTACTTCACTGGCTTGCCTACAAGCCCAATAATGGACCACCCCCTTCCCTCCTGATGGCAATGGTCAGAATCCGATCCATATCTCAAGCCCTTTGAGCTTCAAATATGGCTCGGCTTGACCCACCATCCTTCAAGATGCATGGAAGACAAGCTTCAAGGCTCTGCTCCGTCCTGGAGCCCAGGTGGTGGAACAAACTTCCACTGACTTTCAGACTGTGCGTCCCTTGCAGGCTTCAAACGCAAACCGAAGACCCATATTCTTGTAAAGCACTTAAGTGAACATGCATACTTATTCAAACGCATTGTGCTGCACTTATGCTATATTCAACTCTGTTTCTTACTAGGTGTCTACTACTGAGAAGAAACCAAGACTCAAAAAGATAAACAATAAAAAAGTATAAAAGTATGAGGAAGAAGCACTGAGACACCAAGACGCCATCTTCCTCTGGGACACCCCAAACAGTGCAGTTAGAATACATGTAGGGTACATTTATGAAGAACATTAAATAGAGTCACTGGAATCAAATGGAGGAAAGAGGCTGATGAATGAACTGACTGAGCCCCTGAGCAACGTTTGCCTGAGTCGCCACATGGGAGCCACCAAAGCTGCTAAAGTCACCACCAGAGTTTCAACCACCATTGGAGCTTTAGGCTATACAAAGCTGTGCAAATCTCACCTGCATGAACTGACCCTCCTGATGCTGCTGCTGCTGCATAAACTCAAACTATCTAATTAACCATTGCTCCACCTGTTTTTCCCCATTTTTGTATTCTAATATTTTATTCTAATGTTGTTTGCTATCCAGTGTCGACCAGAGGAGGATGGGTTCCCCTTCTGAGTCTTGGTTCCTCTCAAGGTCACTATCTCCATTGGCGACGCTCATGGGGGCTCAGACCCAAATTTTACTGTAAAGCTGCTTTGTGGCAACACCTGTTGTAAAAAGCGCTATATAAATAAACTTTGACTTGACTTGACTGATCAGACTCATGAAGCTCTTTGCGAGTTGATTCAGGTGTGCTGAAGCAGGACAAACACTGAGCCCTCTGGGGTTCGAGTGTGATGGTCCAGGTGTAGGAAACTCCTTTATTAGACACCAGTGGCGCTGATGTGAGTCTGCACAGTGAAAGGTTCTCCCACAGGATGTACGGCACAGTTCCCTGCCATCAGCAGCTCAGGGAGAGATCATCAGATCAGCCAGCTGTGTCACCAGCAAAACTACATGAACACCAGCAATGTTATTTTATTCAGCGATTTTATTTTATGTAAGGAGTGTCACAATTTTATGGTGCAATAACAGAACAGAGAGCCTTACTCCCTTTCAATCGTCCATTGACCTTTTCCCTTCCCAACACACAGGATCAACTTAAACCAAAATAAAACAAGTGAACAGGTGAACCATTCATGTGTCTCACAGCAGCTGTTCTTGGTTTCAGTGGTGCTAAAAGTATCAAAGAGCTTAGGACGTTACTGTGACATAATCCTGCAGTGTATAACACAATTTGTGTTGGAAGAAATTGTCAAGTCAATGGTATTTCACCATTAAAAATATTCATGTT